GAGCCCTGTAGTCTGGCAGTTGTTCGCCGAAGTTTCGCAGGCGATTTTTGCATCCATCATCAGGGCGATGGAGGCAGCAAGCACATATGAAACGTCGGTAAACTACCATACTACACGGCACAACAATCCAGAAGATAGCCATCTTCATAGCATTACATTTCGTGGTTTTCTTCAGTCCCTGAAGGTGAATTCAGGAACAGTTCCTCGGAACACGGTACCACGTTCTTCCCAGTAACATTTAAAAGGAACAATTAAAATAACCATTAAAAGCTGTTTAAGGTATTTTTAGAATTTTATGATTTATACTTGATACTACAAAAGTGAGGAAGGAACAGTCTAAACATAATTTCAGCTTTCTCCGTTTTTAAAACAATATTTATAAAAAACAACTGTTTTCTCCTGTCTTCCCTTTTCTGACCAATGAAACAGGATAAAACCGCGAATGTTTTTTGTTTCAAAGGTATCGAACGTTCCCTAAAACACAGGTTATATATGGAAGGCGGGTGCATTTAATATTGTGAAATCAAGGATAATGAGATGCATGAGCGAAACGAAACATAAAAAAAAATCGTCGGAAAATATTACAGGGAAAGACTTAGAATAACTGGGTGTAGATTGGGATACTATGTTCTTATAACATAAGGTATGGGAATATGGTAAGGATTTATCTGGCTCAGGATAGAGTCCACTTACGGGCTTTTGTTAACGCGGTAATGAGCCTCCTGCTTCCATAAAAAGCGTTTTTTAAAGCTATTGGACTTTTAGCTTCTCAAGAACTATTCTTCTCCATGGAGTTTGTTAGTTAACTGACAGTTCCGAAACGTGTGTGATTAGGCAGATATTTATTCCATTTAGACTGAAATATCCTAATCTTGTATTCATAATCATACCATCCTGTTGATACATTCTTTCTCAGTGTTTGAAATTACGTTCATGGTCATTAAATCGTACTTTTAAACTCCCGCCAGAAACTTCTTGGTTGTCACTATTTTATTCATTTCGATTATTTCGATTCGAGATATAGTTGCTTCTCGATGATTAAGAGCGTGAGGTTAGTTGTGTCTCTGCTTCTGTGCCGACTCGTGTGCTCCTTGTAGTGAAATGGCGCGGCGTGGTGGCATAGTGCATAGAAAGAAAGCAGAAATTACGTATAGTTATTTATATATGTTGTGTGCGTGTTAATAATTCAACAAATATAATATTCTGTGTTGTTCGTGTTACATTTCCTTGGGAAATATTTCCGGACAGTGAAAATGCACAGACCTTCATGCGTGTGTAGCAGCAGCCATCTGGCAGTGTACCATTTGTGCATGCAGGTAAGTAATCCGACCAGCATTTGTTGCTGGGAAACTGTTGGCCAGAGCGCAAGACAATAACCAGGGTTTCATTTGGGAATCTCGCGTTCTTTTAATATTTGTAACACAACAGGCTCGCTTTCAGGCCTAAATAGATAAGCGATTATGTTCTGAGCGTATTCTGAAGTTATCAACGTTTCAACATGAGAGAGGGAAGCTACAGGCATTTAGGCATTTTCAGGAACATCACAATGTATAGAGCTGTGCTTGAGTAAACCCACATACAAGCTACGAACCAGAACTGAGCAGACCGAGCTGGGCAGTAAAATGTCAAGCCGAGTCAGACTTCATTTAGTCCGGAAAATTTGACTGAACGTTCCCCAGTTTTACCCACACACGTGCAGCCATAACTGAGCAATTCTGCACTGCGCAAAGTTGATCAGTGCAACAGACCAAGGTTGAGTGGCCGGCTTAAGTCAAGGCTGTACTGAAACGCCGTGTTCTCCCTAGTACGAGTTTAACCATTTAGGTAAAAATTAACTACGCGCACCACATGCTCTTGTGTTCATAACACTGCATGTCGCTCGCGTATCTTTGTGTTTCGTTTGGAAATAAAGAGTAAACATTTTTATACAGACCATTAACAGGTGCAGGCCCACTTGTATTTGTAACTGTGAAAAATGTTTTGTTGGAGGTAAGATCAGTGTCTTTAGATGCTATTTAGATCATTTTTGTTCTTAAAATGTCAAGCTATGCGTGGTGCACGTTCTGCGGTGACATCATGCGCACAAAACAGGATTTTGTTTCTGTATGCGCATCTCTCTGCTTTCTTTCTCTATAGCAATAATATTACATGCTTTTCCGTGCTATATATGCAGGTGGAGTATTTTAGGGCTGCTTTATGAATGAAATGTTTATTATTGAGGATTTCTCAGAAAAATTATGATCCAGGCATACACCACAGAGCAAAACATGCTTATAACTATATCCCAAGATCCGTGAACATTTGACGTTTCATATAGGTTTCCAATTAATACCAATACCTACTTGGAGACAAAAATATTGTGCACTAGAAATCACATATTTTTGTGATACACATTATAAGTTGGAAATCCATGATACATGTATGTTATTAATACATACACCTTTTGACCAATAGGCCTGCATAATTCAATACTTCCCTACTTTCTCTAGTAGGACACTGAATTAGAATGCAAATATTTCGCAGAGAGTGTGGTTTAATGTCTTCTCCTTTTAGGACAGGAATGTTGCGCTTCTAAGATAATTTTAAGAAAATGTACTACGGAATAAATTTTATGACCAGTATTAAGGAAAATTAATTTATAGCCAATTTTTTTAATGATTATTTCAAAGGCCGTTTGAACGAAACTCATATTCAAGGCACGACTTTTGGATGTATTTTTTTCCGAACTGAGTTATGTTTAACAAGGATCAGTACAATCCGTAAATATCGTCTTAAGATGACACTGAATCCGTTCAGCGCATTAGTACAGGATTCACAGTGACAATGTTGGATTTAATCCGGGGCTTGGTTACATTAAAGTGACATTTTTACCTTGTTATGCTAACTGCTTTCAAATGAATATCTTTTAAGCGCGTTTACTAAAAAAAGAACTTTTGAAAATCGCCTATTACACTCGACATAGCTATCATTTGTCCTGCAGTAAAAGCGCCCAAATTGGTGATTCCATTTCGTTCATACTCGTGCATGGTATAGCCTATTTCCTCTAAGTGTTGCAGACCCATTTTTATTTTGGCTTAGTTTTCTTAGACTTAAGCTTCCCTTACTTAACAAACCAAACGTTTTTCGACGTAAAATATTTGTCCTTTTGACAGATTTTAATGCAACTTCTCTACCAGCATTTACACAGCTATTATCAGAGCCGTAACATCTCAACGAGTATAGTGATTAGGCTACGGGGTGGACGACCGGGGTTCGATTCCCGGTAGGGCAGGATTTTTCTCTTTGCTATAACATACAGACCGGCTCTGGGTCTCACCCAGCCTGCTATCCATTGAGTACCGGGGTTATTGCGTCGAGGTTAAAGCGGTAGGAGCGTGGAGCTATACCCCCACTTCCCCATACGTCTACATGACGTGGTCCAGGCACAACTTTACCTTTTATATTTATCATTTGTTTGTTTGTTCTTGTATTTGTAATGTTTTACTTTTATTATTATTGAAATGAATTTAATTATTTATTATATCTTATCATGTCTTCTGGTTTAGTGCTTGGCTGTTATTGGCCTTATTTGGCTGTTGTCAAGCACTTTAATAAATGAATTGAATGAATTGAATTCAATTGAATGACCATGATTAATTTTAAGGGCTACATTACATATGGCATAACTGAAATTTTAGGTAACCAATATGTTTTGAGATCGTTGACAAATTCTAATGAAACTCTACCCATATTTGACGAAGCATTGTGTGACTATTATCACGCATAAAAGTCATTCCCATTAGTTAATTTTAAGTCTTCCGTACTGTACTTAACGGTCGAGTTTGATTTACGAGTATTTCGTGAATTATTTTAATTCTTCGCCGCTGTTACAACATGATTAAACCTCACGTAGTAAAGGAGATTATCGTCCCAAATAAAATAGCATAAACCGATTACAAGAGACAACAAATGCCAATTAACCATATTGTAAGGCGAAGGCCTATTTGTTTTATCTTGACACCATCAGTAAATGCGAGATAGTTCTTGCAATGAAAAAGTATATTTTTGGCATTGACAAGGGCAAAGCAAACCAAGCGGGACTGAAATTAAATGGGACACATCAGCCTCTGGTCTGTGCTGATGATGTAAATCTTTTGGGATATAACACAAATACTATAAAGAAAAACACAGGAGCTCTAATTGAGGCTAGTAAGGAGGTTGGTCTAGAAGTATACACAGAGAAAACGAATTATATGTTGATGAATTGTCACCAGAATGCAGGGTAAAATCGTAACATAAAAATATCTAATGGATCCTTAACAAAATTGTCAAATTTAAGATATTTGGGAGGGGCAGTAACAAATGAGAATTTAATTCATGAGGAAATTAAGTGCAGATTAAATTCGGGTATTGCTTGCTAACATTCAGTTCGAAACCTTTCGTCTAGTGTCTAAAAACATAAAAATGAAAATATACATAACTACAATTTTGCCTTTAGTTTTGTATGGGCGTTAAAATTGGTCTCTGACTCTAATGGAGGAACGTAGACTGAGGGTGTTTGTGGACAGGGCTCTGAGGACAATATCTGCACCTTAGAGGGATGAATTATTAGGAGGCTCGAGAAAGTTGCATAATTAGGAGCTTCGTAAGTTGTACTCATCACCAAATACAATTAGACAGATCAACACAATGAGGATGAGACGGGCAGGGCATGTAACCCGCATGGGGGATAAGAAGAATGCATACAGTGTTTTGGTGGGCAAACCAGAAGGAAAGAGACCACTAGGAAGACCTAGACGCAGGTGGGAGGATAATATTAAAATGGGTTTTTAGAGAAATAGGATGGGGTGGTATGGGCTGGATTCATCTGGCTCAGGATGGGGACCCGTGTCAGGTTGTTGTGAATACGGTAATGAACCTTCGGGTTCCATAGCATGTTGGGAATTTCTTGAGTGGCTGAGAGACTGTTGGCTTCTCAAAAAGGACTGCTCCATGGAGTAAGTAAGTATATTGGCACTTACTGACGCGACACGTGGACCCCGTCCAGCCTGAAGCACACGTGCAGTGGTACTGCCCTCCGGTCTCTTGACACGTCCCACCGTTCCCACAGGGGGCAGTGGCGCAGGGGTTGTCCACCACCTCGCAGTTGAGTCCAGAGAACCCTTCAGGGCAGGTGCACAGATACTGGTCAGGTGCTGTGTTTTCGCACGTTCCTCCGTTCTGACAAGGTTCGTGGGTTCCACAGTAGTTCAGGTCTGCAAAGAGAACAAGAACGTACAATTAGCTCCTTCGCAAATGTACAGATACCGGAAAATTCAAAAGTTTTTACTTTAATTATAAGCTTAAACAAGATTGGGAAGGTTCAATTAATACCAGAATACATAGTTTCAACATACGCAATTTGCAACTCGGTAGACAAATTCTAATTGATCCTGGCCGGCCCGAATAGCTTAATCACTAAATGAAAATGTTCGTAAGTTTCTAACGTTAATTTTTATCTCGTTGCTCTGTCATTTGTTCACTAGAAACTGATTGTTTAAACAAAAAAACTACAGTTTCAAACGTGTATATTAGAAAATACTCAATACATCCTATGTAAAAAGGTCGACATTTCTTGTAACCTATTGGTATTAGAAAACATTGTTCATGAAACAAAACGTTCCTTAATTTTTTAATTAGACAAACAACATCCAAATGAAATCAGACAAATCATGGACTGTTTAGGGAGTATATTACTGGCCAATTACGCTGCATCATTTACTAAATCCACACAAAAAAAGCCTTCTTAAACACAGCCGATCAGCTAGTCTTTCTATACTTTTAGAGAATTCAAAGTTTAATTTTGTTTTCATAAGAGCCCGCCACTGAACCCAATTCTGAGCCCTATAAATTCAATCTACATATTTCTACCCTATTTATTAACTATCCATTTTAATATCATCCTTTTATTTACACATTGAACTCAAAGTTGTGCTATCCATTAATGTTTTTTGGCTATTTTGTATAGGTCTATATGTATTTTTATTTGATTTTTTTTATTTCCATGCCGGAAAAAAAAGAAACATACTTTGTACAATAAACTATAGAAAACCGGATACGGAAGTAGTTAACTCTAGAAATTTAGGCAGCGTTGAATCAAATAGTTTAAAGCGCCGATGTTATTAAAGAAGACAAACACTATACGTGAGAGAACAAATAAGTCAATAGTATTGTTTCCAATCCTTGCATTGTATCGCTGTCAGATTGTGCAAAGTTAAACATCACAGATATTTATTCGCGTTTTGAGATAGGGACATATGTTTCAGTATCCTCCCCATACAAAAAGCAATGAGTAGTTCTTTCTACTGAAGCGAGATTGGCTATGCATGATGAGTTTTGATTAACAGAGCAAGACAATTGAATATATGTTCTACCTCGTTTTTATTCATCCCAACATCAAATCTGCTTAAGCAGAATTGTACATCACTTATCCTGGAGAAATCTCTAATTATGTTACCGACATCCGAGAATAATACAGATTGGGTGTAACGATTCCTGTAGACGCTACTTACTGGCTTCTGGATGTTTAAAATAACCACTACTTATATTTTGTTTAGCGTCGTACTATTTTTATGCGAATTCAATCTTACAGTCTCATTCATAAAGTTAAAATGGATAGTTTTATGTCGTATACGATAAATAAAAGACACTGTGCACACGAGGTACTGTAAAAGCATGCAAAGAACGAAGAAAAAGATTCGTTCGCAAATTGAACAGCGAATAAAAAATAGGAACGTTTCGTACACACAGTTTATATTTATCAAATTCACCTCAGTTCTTAGTACACACTAGCTCTCAAGCTAAGCACTGTATGGATAAAGGACCTTTCTTACACGTAACACAAAACATTCAACTGAATAAATCGACTGACAGTATCAACTTCATGAGCTTTGTAATCGATAAGCGTTCTTTTTCCTTTCGAGGTATAGACTGAAATATTAAACATTAGTTTGACGAGTTTCGACTTAAAGTATTAATTGAATGAATACCGATGAACATCATATTTGCCACATAGGTCTTAATAGTTCCCTTTTTACTATGAGAAATACAACATCTGACCCCTAACATATAAAAGTACGGAAAAAACTACTGATGTATATTAATAACTGTGTCGAATTTTAAATTGATTAGACCAAGGCGTAAAAAAATTTGTGGATGCTTATATTTAGCTCGTAGACAGCGTATAAAGAGAGAGAGACCTCTATACAAGCAACGATAATATCTGAACGAAATAAAGACCATGGTCATTAATCCGATCAGCGAACAGTGGGTTCGTGGTCGGAGGGTGAAGATGTGAATCGTTCGTTAGAACTGCCCTGCACGCATCACAGACCACATTCACTTACCGGAGATTCGAGGAGAGGAGACGCAAAAAATATCGCAACATCTAATAGGCCACAGACAAGAATTGGGGTTGCAAAGTGGATCAGTGTTAAGTTACGAGGGCAGGGGATGAACACTAGTTTTTTTTACACACGTTGTGGATAATAGTATCCCGAGAATAAGCACATCTGGAATGTTTTATGGCTGGAAGGTTTTAACAAAAGGTCGTGAACAGTTTGATCGATCAATTTCAAAGCTGGAAGTAACGAATTTAAGCAAGAGAGAATAAGTGATGGAGAGCTCACTCCACGGGGCAGTGAATCAGGTTCTTTAAGAGGGCGGTGGATCGTAAACAACTGGTGGTAGCTACATCTGCATAACCATTTCACGAGAACATTAGATCTTGCGTGTTTATATGCTATTACCGAACATCGCAGTAGATGCTTTGTATTCCTGGGTTAGATTCTCAGCAAGGAATCCGGATATTCTGATATTTATCAAGGGTTTTCTCAGTCTTTCTAGGCGGACGGTGGGATACGCAATGTTTTGTAGTATTAAGAAGGGAGGCTTCGATGGGCTGGGTTTATAACTCAGACAGGGAAGTCAAGGAATGTTACTCAGTTCTGGTGGAAAAGTCTCTTCAGAAACAGCCACTTGGAAGGCCGAGAAAAATGTGCAAGGATAACTTAGCCTTTGAAGTAAGAGAGACACTGTATTTGACGAGAGGGGGACATTCTCGGTTATTACGGTTCCTAGGCATTACCCACTCGTCCTTCAAGTGACGGTATGTTGAAGAGAAGGAAAAAGACTGATCGATCGATCGAAAATGGAGAAGGTAGTAATGAGAAGTAATAAGATGGGTGAAAGAAGTCTAATAAATCTATATTAATTACCTCAGAGAGAAAACAAAGCTTTCTCTTTACAAAATTCAATTGGTAAATGATGTTCAATAATATAATCACGGTTTGTTCTGGAATTTATACCAAACCAAAAATGCTCACTGTGGTCAAAATTAATGTTAAAACTTTGCTTTAAAGGTTTAAGGCTGATGTTAGGGAACTAAATAATGAGGATGAGAAGTCGATGTAACTGGCTCAGGATTGTGCTCAATGGTGGCCATTGGTAAGAGCTCTGTTGAAACTTCGGGTTCTGTAATCAGTATCTAGTTTCTTGATAGTTCCAATTTGAATACGTTGTTCCCGAACACGACCTACCGCGAAAAAGAATACTGAAGGAAGTGAGCAAAATGGAACCCAGCAGCAAGTGAGGCGAGTCGAGGCACAGGTGATAACTGGGCGTGTGCAGTGCGTGTCGGAATATTAAGTATGAAGAGTCTGTAAATAATTAGGGGAAGCCTTGAGTTTATTTGTACTGCTCGGAAAAAAAACAAGCGTTCCACACTGTCTCCAATCCACGTCCTCAAAAAAAACCCGTCATTACTTTTACGCACCAAACACAGACAACTTTGTTGAAAGAAAAACACCTTTTTTGCTTAAGCAGGAAAGACAAGGATGACTATCTTCTGGGTTGTAGCGCCGAGTAGTCTGGTCGATGTTAACCAACGTTTCAGAGGTCATACTGCCTCCGTCATCAGGGCGATGAGTATCGTATAGTCTGGTAGAAGTTTACCAACATTTCAGAGGCCCTTGCTGCCTCCATCATCAGGAAAATGAGTACTATAACCCAGAAGACAGCCATCTTGGACTCACCGCCGTGAAAACCTCAAATCCTACTTAGGAAATACAAAACAACTCGCTTTAATTTGTTTTGAAACCTTACACGTAAAACAAAACAATTCATTTGCATTAAGCGGATTTGGTCTTAAGAATATTTCGTCCAAGACTGTTTAACGACTTTATTTCAACGAATGAGATTAGAGATTATGTAAGGGCGCTATTTCTATACCAGATGTTTTATTTATCTTAGATTATAAAGCTTAAACGTCTCCTCTCCAACTAATCAATTCCATATATTTTTTTCACAAACTGATGGCCACTTAGCTAATCAGAAAATCCACTCTTTAAAACCCGAAGATCCATTACCATGTTCACTGTAACTTACCACTGCAAATTAATTTAAGCTGTATGAATTCGATATTCATAATATAATCTTCTTCAACTGCAATTTAAAGATTTTACTAACGTTTCTATCTGCGTATTCCATGCGTTTACCAATAGAGGTTATTTAGTGTTAAGTTCAAAATATTGGTCAATACATTCACTTCTAACTTCAAACGACGATCCATAGATCTGAATAATTCATATACGGCACAAGAACCACTTATATACTTTAATAAAACGTCGATGTATTCTAATGGGTATAAAATCACGTTAGTTATTTACTACACAATTGCCAGCCACATCAAGATTGCTCCTGGGTCTTTGTTTTCTATCATTTGACACCACATAGCATAACAAGGTTATATTTCACAAGCAATACAAAGCTATACGCGGGCCAGGGGGCCTTAGAAATTGACATTAATTCTAGTTTGTTAATGAAGCTGTATCGTGCCTGAAGCTCATCTCACCTCAGCCCCACGACACAAATTTCCTAGACCAGAAAACACGCCCTCACTTCGGGAAACCTGAACTGTAAAGAAATAGTTACATGTTCCCTGTCTGCTGCCAAAATATTGACCGAACATTGTTATTCGAGCTCACCTACATGAAAAGAAACAAAGTAGAATAATACCAATCGATATATGACTTCAGAACTACTCCGATATAAGGGGAAAAGCACAAGAGATAAATCTTACTTTTTATTTAGAAGGGGAAGTAGGGGAATTGGGTGAAAGCGTCTTGAAACCGGGAGAAAGATATAAAGGAATAAGTAAAATAACAAAGCAAACGCAGGTGAAAATGGGTAAATCTAAAACAGCTAAAGAGCGTGAGAT